AAAGCCAAAATATACCCCTTGGAAGTCAAAACCCCATTCATCTCCAAAACCCATGTATACCCCATTCCCCGCCTTTTAAAACTCATGTATACTACCTCTTCAAGGCACTTTGCCTATCAAATATTCAAATAGAACGCTCGAGCGCTCTATTCGAAGGGGTGTTCTATTTTTTAAAAACTGAGTACAAACAAAAATCTCATCTTTTTAAGTTTTTAGGGTAAGTTGAATATAGCGCCCGAATGTTATTTTTGGGTGAAGACGATAGCCTACCTGACAGACAGCGCCCAAACTTCTGCGAAATGCATGTGCGAGAATAAGGCTAAGTGAAGTACAAGATCGTTTTCCTTAAAAGCATCATATAGCATTATAGCCAGCGCAATAAAAGCACATCAAGATCCCAAGAGGAGCTAAGTGACTTCCTAGATCAAGGCGAACTTAGAAACTTGATGAGTGAACTTCGATGATAATCGATTTAGAACAGAACCGAGAAATTATGTCAAACGTAATCGTGTTCCCGATAGAGAAGCAATCTTGGCATCCACGTAGAAAACCGGTCGTCAGATCTGAGCAGGAAACCACTGAAGATCCAAAAAGTCGACGTACCAGCTTCCAGTCATTGACAAAGGAGGTACCAGAGACGCATGAAACCGTGATCGAAGAGCAATAAAAATCGAGAGTTTTTTGTGAGAAATTCAATATGAATGAGACTAGAACTCATAAGGCTCAGAGAAGAGCGAAAGCCAAAGGTAAATTTTGTTTACAACATCCGATTCCAACCAATAGTGCACTTTCCTTTTTCAATCTCTCATTTTTTTCTAATCTACGTTTGTGTCTTGTAATCCGCCGAGAAATAGTATTGAGGGGAGGAGATATCAAGCGAATGAAGAATCCGTCATCCCTATACAAATCATCCGTTGAAGACGGTACGCAAATCGGAATAGCAATATACGCGTGAACACAAACGCGTCTCAGCCAACGATATAATGTCTTATTTCGAGCATTCGAGTCACGATGTAGTGTTCTCCGAACGCGCTCTTCCTAACGGACACACAAGGAGCGACTTGTGCATCCAACGTACGCATGTTTGTACCAAGGAGAGAAGAAAATATATACGATTGGACCAGGGCAATTATCAAAATTGTAATTCGTGTTAGTCAAATTGATAATAAGATGGCGCAAATCCGCACCTCATTTAATCTGTTGTCGAGGAATCACAAGAATAGTGATAGTACGTAACAAATAACCAATCACACTCTAAAATAGATTATCACCACACCTCCGAAGATCACGGCAAGACATTGCATAAGACCATAGTTGCCCAGCGCACGTCCTTGATCCCCTTGAACCTCTTCAAGCTCTTCTACTGACATGGCATAACACAACTCAGCTTCTTCCTCCTCTGCATGTTTGTCCTCTCCCTCGGTGTCACTTCTGGTGTCCCCACGAATTGCTTCGAAGTCTCTTTTGGCCCTAACTTCGACAATATCCATCCGTGCTTGCTCAATCTTAATGTATGTAATACCCTCCTCTTTGCACATTCTCTCAAGATCAGACTTCTTAGCAAGCCTGATCTCCTTCCGTCATTTATCGACCAACCCTTGCAGTAGATCCACCTCCTTGACAGGAGCATGCTTCCTCTTTAGACCTTCATGGTCCCCTCCATTCTCGTCGGTTGAATCCGAGTTTCCAACCGGAATGGCACTTAGCGACTTCCGCAAACCAAGCGGCGAGGTTTTACTGGTCGTAGCCGATCGCTTGGATCGCGTGGCAGGGGTGAGAATCCTCGTCAGGCTTTCTTTGAAAAATTCTGCCTCACGCACGGCAGTCAGCTTCCCCTCCAAGGCATCTTTGTAAGCCCGGCGCAAGGTTTTCATGTCCTTGGAGGTATACATGGTCGTCGAGCTAAGATAAACTTTGACTTTCCCTAGGTGGGGTGGGCTCTTCTCAGTGACCGTGGCCGGTGCCCTCTTCCCTGCATTCTTCATGGCGCCGACTTCATCCTTCAGATCGGCGAACTCCTTCTCCAAGTACCTATTCGAGTGTTTGAGTATAGCAAGTTCATTGTTCTTCTTCTCTAGCTCCGTTTGGAAGTCTTCCACCTCCTTCAGATTATCATACCCTATATCCTTCGTCTTCACCCTCGTTTGCTCTTCCTTCTTCTTCGCTGTCTCATTTTTTCTCTTGAGGTCATCAATTTCTTGTCCCAACTTTTCTTGCTCTTGATGCCTTAACGGATCCTCTTTCTCCTTTCGTAACTGCTCGACCTCATCCTGTTTTTTGCCCCCCTTTGGTTTCTCCTTTCGTAACTGCTTGACCTCATTTTGTTTTTTGCCTACGCTTGGTTTCGTCTTTAGTTCCTCGATCTCTCATCGTAGCTTAAAAATTTCCTACTCCTTCGGGTCCACCTTTACAAGAAGCTCAACCTTGCGACCAAATACTGTTTTGCAGACCAACTTCATGTTCCCCCATGCGGATGATGAGAGAATTCTTCCCTTTCTCATCATTTAGTACTTTCTCCTCCTCGTCCTTCTTCCGCTTAGCTTCCTCGTCTTTCTTCTTTTTTCGCTCCTTCTCCTCCATCTGTTCCTTGAACAAGTTGTAAAGCTTGTAAATCTTGTTGTCTCATTCCCTGTCTTGGAAGTTGCCTCCCCAAGGTCTAGAATACCGATTGTTGTTGTTATATCCTCCGTAACTTCCCGAACTACTGAAACGTTTGTTCCCTTGGTTGTATCCCCCGATGCCATATCTGCCAGTTGAAGGAGACGGAGTCTGCGTTCCTTGATACGGTACGATGGCATTGGAACTTGGCGCCGGAAGAATGTCGTCAGTCTCCGGTCGGGAACCGGACCCAGACGTTGTCCCCGCAACCAGATCCGTTGCATTAGGTATGTCACGCAACCGACATTCCCTCACGAAGTGTCCTGGCAGCTTACAAAAAGGTACTAGCGCTCTCACAAATTGGACTGAATTCGGTCGTATAGCTTTTTAAAATATCGAAAGGTGACCGCTTGGTAAATGTGCAATTTTCTATATAATCAAAAGTTCAAACCAAAGGAACGAGAGGCTGCACTCCGTTACCGCCGGCCGATGAGGCTCGACCGGAAGGCGTACCGACAACCACACCGCGTCGTAGAAGGTGACCGCCATGGCAAAACCTTGAAATGAGGCTGAGTCGTAGGATGTTCTCCCTCCTCCTCGTCCCCACCAACGGGTGACGAGTTGTGCTCACCAAATTTGAGCAGGAGAGGAGAGACACAGTGCAGTGAGCATGATAAGCTGACCGTGCCTGTGAAGGAGGTAAGAGATCTGGAGCAGGTTGACCGAGAGGCGGAAAGCTGACCAGTATACTTGAAATACGGAAGTGGCGCTAAAACGCCGCTCAAGTCAAAACAAGGAAGCTCGTCATCCAGAATTGCGGCCATGGAAAACCTGCTAGTGGAGGTTGCGGACGTGCTGAGCCATGAACATATACTGGAGTCAATCAGGAAAATGGCCGAAGAAGTGGGTGACACCGCAGACTTGACATCAATCAACCAGTTGGGAGTCTGTGTCTGCAGGTCGGATTTGCTAGAGGAGGAGCTGGAGACAGCTCTTCAATCGTCGGGAGCCAGCCTTGCGGATCGGGTTTGGAAGAGCAACCACACATCTGCCTGCCTTCACTCACTGACGCGCCTGCGAGATCAGGTCGAAGATCTGTTGTTGACCAAATACCAGGTCTTCGAAGAAAACACCATCATCGCCGCAGCCCAAGACGGCGCGATGGAGTGCGGGGCCCGAGTGCCAAGCAAACATCAACACGGCGGATAAGTGACGATCCCCCTCTCCCACGGTCACGGATCGGCTAAGGGCCTGGGCCCTGGGCGAAGCCGGCTGTCAACAACACCATACGAGTTCTCACCAGAGGAAGACAAGCGAGAGCGGCTTGTTGCAATGGAAACCTACTGATGCAAGGGCTCTCCAATACTGGGTAATAAAACGCTGGCCCCCGGCAAACAGCTGGAAGAAGTTTCCCAGGTGATACCGCATCACGTCGGGGTGACAAACTGCACGATCTATCAACTCTGCGGGGTAAAAATGGCCACGGGAGGAGACAAAGGTGAGGGGGGCAGGATGCGAGGGGGGAAACGAGAGAAGGGGGGCGACCGGGGTTACCGCTCCTGGTGCCCGCCTTGGGTTGGACCTCATCCCTTGGTGTGGGAGGTTCTGCATGTCGATGGACGCCATCAGTTCGCTGTTTGGAACTCGTCCTCCCCTCCGATGCAAACGTGCGGGAAGGGATGCTTGCCTTTCGCAAAATTCGCATATCTTTTGTCTCTGCGGTAAACGGCTTCTCTTTCTCCTCGGCCGACTTGCAGAACCGCCTCCGTTGCTCATGGAAATCTCTATAGCTTGTGCCCATGTCCTACCATGAGACCTGTGTAGGCGAGAGTTTTAGGTTTTTTAGGTGTGGCTTGGCATAATGGTCCTATCAAAAGTGGGATTAGGGTTGAGCTTCCCCACAGAAAGATGAAACGCTGACTGTCTCTCGTGTGCTGGGGCGAAGGACGATCACGGATGTTCAAGGGGAGGATGGACAGGGCTAGTAACTAGGGTTGTTTGTGTAGCTTCGTAAAAGGGAGGTCAGTCAATCCCCTCCTGGAGAGGGTAATCAATGCTGCCTCCTGCTGTGTACCCATTTGATGGATTCTTGAAAACCTGGCTCCAAGTGCATGTCATTAAAGGGACGCTGGGCCCCGTTTCCAGCAGGTGCAGCTCCCCACCAATAGACTGGAGCCATCGACCCTGCGAGGCCTGCTAGAGGAGGACGCTCTTACCAACCCCTGCTAGCAGGTGCTCTCGCGCCAATGATGTTTCTTCTATAAAAAAAAAAAAAAAAAAAAAGTACACATCAAAATTGAAAAAGGGAAAACCAAGGCGCACTCACGGTTTGAGTTTCAAAATGCAGTCTAGGCAAAAGCGCTGAAAATGTTACATGTATACAAGCTAGCTTTAGGGTCCAGTGGGGGTGTGTTATGTTTGAGGGATGCCGGGAATGATGACTGCACAAAAAAAGTTGCCCCATTAAAAAAAGAACGTTAAGGCTGTGGATTATGGCACTTGCAATGACATGCATACCAGCTCAGATGCCACTGCCAACCCCCCCACCCCCCTCCCTCTCCCTCCTTCCCCCCACACCAAGAAAAGAGAAAACTGGCCGTCACTGTTGAGATAATAGCAGTATGTCCTCCCACAATACTACCCTGAACACACCCCGGAGAGGTTGAAGAAAATCTTCCACGTTTTCCCTCATCAGCAATCAAAAAAAAAAAAAAAAAAAAAAAAAAAAAAAAGGAAGAAAATTAAAAAAAAAAAAAAAAAAAAAAGCAATCCATTGCAAACGAGGCCGGGAATTTCTTTCAAACAACCCCAAAAAGGAATGTGACCATTACCCACCTCACCATCACTTTCAAAATTTTCTAAATTAGGTTTTCACCGAAAAGATACATGCCTATAAACATAACCGAATTTCCAAACGCAATTAATATCATATTATTTTTAAATTACCTAGGCTGTTTGTGTGGCGCCCAGGCGCCCAACTTGTGCCCTGATACACCCCCAGGTGCCCGGATAGGCATGAACCCCGGGCAGGGTTCCAGGTAGCCCAAACGCACAAAAAAATATATATGGAAAAAAATTAAAAACATATAAAAAAAAATATTGTGTAGAATTACAATACGAAAGACTTTTGGCCGAGGGTCATATGTTCCCAGCCCATAATGAATCTGGAGTGGTTTAAAAAAAAAAAAGGGAACACTGTTGAAATACCCCTAAAACTTCGGATATTTCCTTAGATACCCCTAAAACACAGGGGTACGCTGAAATGCCCCTAACTTCTGCATCTGCCCCTGTCCCGCTCACAGGCAACTTCGCCATATGCCCTCGCCCTGGGCTGCAGGGGCCTGTGCATTTCTCTTGCAATCTGCAGGGTCCAATGGCTAAAATAATGGGGCATATAGACAAGTTGCCCGGGGCCCAGTAGGGGTATATGCAAAAGATGACAGGTCCAATCTGAGTTTCACTACTGTCAAAGGGGCATTTTGCCATACCCATGCCTTTTAGGGGTATCCGACGAAACACCCAAACTGTCAGGGGCATTTCAAACAATTTTCCCACCAAAAAGAAAGAAGTCCTCACGGAATCAAAGGTAAAATAGAATCAGACTAGGCTAGCCCCCTTTCGAACCCCTTTAGCCCCTTTGAAACCAATTTATTCCCCCCTTCCCCCCCGCCCCCCTTGACAGCCAACACTCGGAAAAAAAAGGCCTGATCTTTGCCTGCAAGGGGCAGCCCGTGCCGGTGCCCCCCGGGCAACTTCCCCCCCCCCCCCGGCCGGGCGAGCCAAGCGCGACTACATTAGCTTTCCTTTATACACTGATGGCTCTGTTTTGTTACACAAAACTCAGCAAATGCAAACTTGAGTTCTGACCACACTAGGGACTGACTTTTTTAACATTTTTTTTTTTTCCCTCATGTTTTTTTTTTTTTTT